GGCGCGAGAGGAGCTCCGTCGGTTGCGGAACGCGTATTTGCGGTCAAGTGACTTGCTGTAGAGCTTCAGTTTCCTAACCGTAACCCCGAATACAATCATCCAATAAATATATGGATCCTCTGCATATAAGTATTCAAGTCTGAGCTTTGCCACCGAGAATGCATGCATCTTATTGGAGCGTGCGTGGTGGCTGCTACCAAGGGAATCGACCGTGCCCTTGGTTGCGATCCATGGATGTCTCTGGTTTGTTCATGTCAGCTGTGCTGGCGCTTTGGTCCACACACAACACCGCGTAACGGAAGATAGTGCACATGCCGTCGTGTGACGACACCGTGGGATGCTGAACGACTTGCATGAGCGGTCTACGAACTGGTCTACGACAAGGTCCACGATGTCCCGACTTGCTGCACTGGGTTCGAACAGGTGGTCTTGGCGCGGACCCCGCAATCACGCGCGATACAGTCCTGTGACTCGAGGGAGTCCATCGCAGCTTTATGTGTCCCACCCACGTGCGTCATCAACTGAATGTCTTTGGCGTGTTTCAAGTCAGTCATGTTGTCTAGATTATCGTAAATGCTGCCCAAGCAAGGCGTGCAACCCTGCAACCAACGACGTGTGAGACGTGCATCAAAGGTGATACTTCCACCGTTCGCTGCTGCGGGCGGTCGCATCCTTGATGGCTGCTTGGATGCCCACAAAATGAGCAAGGGAATACGCGCCTGCTTGACAAAGTGGTGCTGCCAGCGCAAGCCCAAGACGTCGGTCGCGCGCGTCACGCTCAGCACACGCTGTGCGAGTACTTGTGCGGCATGCGCTCGAGCGACGCTAAGAGATCTTCAACGATTCGGATCGGTAGACTTGTTCTGAGTATAGTATAGAGAAAGGAGGTGATTTTACAATGGCTGGCCCGAAAGGGCACACTCCAACTTTAGTAGCCTGATTTTCACCTGCCTTGCACGCATTTACGCGCCACAACGCTTTCTTGTGCTGCGTCTTGCCTGACGCCTCTGCAAGTGCCTTTTACAAGTCCATAAGAAGCGAACGGCGGGGTCGTCAGTGGCCATCGGTTGACTGTTGGCGCGGTGTGTGAGAAAGTCGGGTATGGGCTAGTATCGCGCGAAAAATGGCATACTATCGCGCGACCCCGAAAACGGCATACTATCGCGCGACTTTTGGCACTAATGTGGAACTAAACGGTAGACTATCGCGCGGTTTTGGAGCTTTCTCAATTGAGAGCACAATCAACCAAAAAACGAGTCGTTTGAGAATTAATAGTACCATATGGTGAGGACAGAAGACGAATAAGAAGGTATCAACGTGTGCAATTGAGATATACATGTACATGGGTATTGCTGGGCCGCGAGTGACTACTCTGCGTCGACGTTCGTGGGAGAAGACGTCTGACTTTGGACACGCAAGAGCGGCGAATCGACCGCGACGAAACTACGGGCGGAGTCCTCGATGAGTTCGGCGAGCTCTTGTACCTCAAACTCCATCTCTTCGTTGTCCTCGAAGCGAACCATCCAAGAGTAAACCGCGGCCTTCCGCCAGCGCATGATCGTACCAATCATGTGGTCCGACGTCTCGAGGCCGGTCTCGGTATCGATGAACGAGAACTCCCGATGGATCGTTCAGTTGTAGCAGTAGCCTGGCTTGTCGACGAGGAGCGCGACCATGTTGGCAACCGAAAAGAACGGGTTGAGGGTCCCGTCCGCAAAAGTTGGGTGTAGCGCCTTGCGCTGGGCACCGGGGTGACGACGGGGAGCGACTTCGGCAAGTAAAGCCTTCGTGTCGAGGTCGTCCATGATGCTTTGGACAGCGACCGAGTGCGAGCAAATCCAACCCGTGGTGAACGAGCCCTTGCAGTCGCACTGGTACTTCTCGGCAACGAGATCGGCCTACGATAATTTTTTGTGTGTTTCTCTGACGCTAGAACGTCGGACTACCTGGTCCGGCGTCCAAATAACGCGCGCCTCGGCCCGCTCAACTTCGATGTCAGCGTTGATGCGGACGTGGTGCTTCGAGAGAAAGTTGATCTCGAGCTCATCCACCGTCGCGATGCCGCCAAGGTTGCCGATAATGCTCCGCATGTATCTAGCCAAAACGTGTGCCAGTATGCAATAGGTCACATCAAGGAAAAGACCATACGTGTCAGCCTCTTTAAGCGTGATCCGCGTTGGATTGCGGGCGCTTGGACCGAACTGGTACTTGCTGGCGTTCACCACAATTCCCGTGACCGTGCCGCCGTGTCGGCGCACGAGGTAGTTGAACTTGTTCGAGAGGATCCGCGCTGCAGCGTCGATCATCTCCGACGGGATGTAGCCGTCACACTTCGTGCGCATCATGTCGAGCGTAGGCACCGGCCCGTCATCATGGTTGTCACTCGAGCAAATGCGCGTGTTCAGGAGAGGCATGGCTTCAATCGCTATTGGAGATCGGTTAGTGTTGTCATCGATAAGTGGAGATATGTTGACCTGGCAAGGTGTCGCAGAGAACGACCTCTGTGGCAGCACGGAGGTGGACGCATTACCGCAATCGATCGACTGGCACTGGTCGCGCTAGAAGCGAGTCCTTGGTCTTGGTCGACGGCGTAACCGTCCTTGTTGAGCGCGATAAGCCCGTGGTTGTCCCGGCACTCGACAACGAAGCCATCCTCGGGGCCCTTGTCCTTGACGCGAACACGGTGAGGGCATTTGAAGTGCGAGACGCAGATGAGCATCGTGTGCGTCTTGCTCGAGTGCTTCCAGCGCAACTCGTAGCCGAGCTCCAAGGCTTGGTCGTGGGCTCCTTGGAGGGCAAGGTCGCGCGACGCCCAGCGGGCCACATGGACCCAATGCGCGGGCTCAACGTCGGGGCGCTCGTTGTTGTCGGGACGCTCGTTGTCGTCGGGGCGCTCGGAGGTTGGCTGCTGCATGGTACTTTTGCAATTGCCAGAACATAGCAGCGACTTGTTGGATTGGACGCCCTGTCCAATGATTTGAGCTCCGAGACCCCACAACGCTGCGGTGCGGGCTGCGGTACGGGTGCAGCTGATGAGTATCCATCGTCGCGTACCGCATTACGCAACAGCCCTTTGTTCCACACAGCCGGTATACCACGTGGAATTATTTGGATACGATTCAATTGAGTTGCGTTGAGTTTGACACCAAAAGTCGCGCGATAGTATGCCGTTTTCGGGGTCCCGGGATAGTATGCTGTTTTCGGGGTCGCGCGATAGTATGCCATTTTTCGCGCGAAACTAGCCCATACCCGAGAAAGTCGTTTCGGCTCTTAAGACGCTCGACTGCGTCGTAGCCCAACTCGAACGTTACCGGGCGACCGCCTTGGACGACGACGTGCCTCTCTTCGTTTTGTCCGGTGACAATCTTGTGGCCAATTACATCATCGAATGGAACGCGGAACACGGTCATAAAAGTATACTAGTATGTTCGACCCTTACCTAAGTGATATCATCCCTTCTATTTATATAGGTCTGGGACCCGGACCTATACAAACTTCAAGTCAAGACGGACCCGAGGGTATTACCCAATGTGGGTGCATCTCCAACAGGATCCACGACGTCAGACCTGAAACAGTGTTTCAAACAGCATTTGGCACAGCATTTGATACAGCATTTGACACAGCAATTGATTTAGGATTTTCATGGATGCCGCCATCGATGCCGCCATTTACTTTGATGCTCGCTCTTGTGCCACATTGCGAAGCATTTATTAATCGATTTAATGGCCAGCGAGAAAGTCGGCCGTGTTCTTTGCGATGTAGTCCAAACTCTTTCCCAGCTTGAGCCGCCGTTCCTCGAGCCGCTTCACGGCTTCTTCGTCGGATATGTTGACGGACAAGGCAAATGATTGCACGCAGCGAATAACGCATTGGCGCCTGCTGAGAAAGCGCCGCTCGTTTTCATTGTGCCACGTGGCATTTGGAGACTGCTGGATGG